TTTTGTGCACTTTTGGTCATTTTCACTCCCTTTTGCCTTGTTCTCTTCCCTTGGGTGATTTTTGGCCTACAAAAGCAAATATTACGTAATTGTGAGTAGAATATCATTCATTTAATCAATAAATAACATATTTAGATATTAATTAAGTGTGTAAAAATATACTTATCACTCTGGTTATCGAAGGTGGTGGCAGTGGCTGGTTGAGGGGAGAGCTTTGGTCAGGGAGACTGTTAAGCTTTGATACCAAAATGAAGAAAGACGTAATGGAACAAATTTTCAACAATAAGAATTAATGCAAGGTGAGAAAAAGATATACAGAGAAATCGAGAGAGAAGGAAGATGGTAATTTTTGACATGGTCATAAAAGGATAGAAATATCTATCTTAGAGTTTAACCAACTTTTAGGGATCGACTTTGCACATCATCCATAATTTTTTTTATTTTTCATTTTTTTATTATTAATTTTTGCTTTATTCTAATTTTCCAATAATTGATTGAATTGTGAATTATAATGAAACTGGGACGTGATTTACTGTTTGCAATGTTTAGAACTAAATAATAAAAATTTTCAACTTGGATAGGAGATAGGGATACACTTTTATAATCTTTGCATGATTATGTATTAAATTTGTCATGATTACAATCAGTTAAATTTGATTATGGTGGCAATAGCAAAGCAGTAGTGTAGTACTTAAATTTGACTTGATATGCGTCCTAGTGAATTTTCTAAAGATATTCAATTAATTGACATATTTATTAAATAATCGAGATCTAGACATAAATAAATAATACATATGTAGTTAAAAGTGATAGGGATTAATGAGATTCTCATAGTACTTTACAAAACTATTTCTAGTTATAAGGGGAAAAAAAGAAACACTAGAAATATCGCAATTTCATGGAGTTATAATTGACATGTCTGGAGAAATTTCTTTTACTATAAGTAAACCACTATTTAAGTGTGTGGTTGAATACTAGGGTCGGAAGTATGTTCCTTCTAAAGGAGTAGAAGTTGGTTATTATGTTGTACTTTGTATGCTAATGTTTAGATATTCCTTCAATTGTTTTAATGGTAAAAAGATTTTAGTTGATCAAATGAGGTTGAAGTTGTTGGACGTATCCTTGGTGATTTATTTGTTATTTACAAGGAAGTTGCCTTGTACGTCTAAGGTGCATGACCAACAAATGGACAATGAGATCAAGATTGGTTAGTATAGTCAACAAAACCATCTTAATATATTGTTGATTGGTAGAAAAATATGTAGTGATTTACATCAACAAGATATGTGAATGACGTGTCTCACATATATACTTGACTCGATTTGTAGTTTGCATGTGTATCACTTTCTAGAGTCATCAACTACCTTGTTCCCATTTTTTTTCCCTCTCGCTAAAGAGTGCCCATGGTCTAGCAGGAGTTTTTATGATTCTTCTTGGCTTATATGTAGGGTTTGGTATCATTCCCAACTTGTAGATTATGTAAATGAAAAGGTACAAAGAATGGGACTTAAGGCTTTACTTCAAGAGAAGAATAAGATAGTATTACACCGAAGATAAACTAAGGAGTTCTACTCCCATTACAATCGAGAGGTCATGTGCTTGTTATAACTTGAATAATGATAATCTTAAATTTGGATAAGATAAAGACGTACTTCTATGATTTGTGATCTCGTATATAAATTTTCTATTTTTTAATGCATTTTCATAAATTGTAATTTTCATAGAGATATAGTAATTTCATGGCAAATAAATTTTATTTTGCTCGAGAGAGACTATCAAATAAGTTAAGGAAAATTTGATAAACAACATATACTATTGTCAGTATTTCAGAAACAAAATTAAATTAGATTAACTACAATAAAGTTGTGGATCTTTACTCTTTAATTGATCAAACTTTTATCAAGTTTAGATTTAGATATTCAATCACTTTATAATTACTTTAAAATCAACGAAATCGAGAACTTGAACTCCTCATGTAATGTGAAGATTAATTTAATTGAATGGCTGTGAAAACAATACTTTATTTATTATTGTATTACTCGTCATGATATGCTGTACTTGTAATTATCGAAGCGAACATGCACATTGGAAGAAAATCAATCTCTAGATCGCCATTTGAGTTTAGATCACAGAGAGAACCGGGAGTTTTGAAAGAGATAACCGACATTTTAGTGTTTTCAAACCAAAACCCATAAACACACGTGCATCGACTGCCTGCCTAATGGGCAGAGTCGTAGGCCGCAAGCTTGGGTCGTAGGTCATCTCATTAATTCATGTTTGGGCTCAAGAGCTTATATTCTTTTTAGAGAAAAAGAAAATATAAATATACTATTTACTCTTTTAATAAAAATTTTACATACCGCTCGAAAATGCAACCTGCAGAGGTAACGCTTGCTCAAGGATCAACTTACAGCGGTTCACCGCAACAGTTTGTCTTAAGTTCGTTTTGTTGTTGAAAGGAACACATTTATATTGAATCGACATGTTCTATTCGGACAAATATTTCACTTAACAAAATTTTGGGAACTTACTAGTTGTGTTGCTTTTCGTTTCCGTTGAAGCAGCTTACAAATTATGAAAATGTAGAGAGAAGGTTACCATATGGAAAAATAGAGTTCCCTCAGAAATTTCCAGTGAGCACGTCAATTTAATATTCTGATAGGGCTTGAAAAGGCACGAACACAATTCTTATTAGCTACCAACAAAAATAATATCTTAAAATTATACATTAACACGATGTCTACAATACATAGGACAACAAATAAGCAAGCAAATAAACTGCTTGTACATTTATTTGATCAATCAACAATACTATAGTGTTCCTCGAGAAACGACAGGGTTCACTGGTTAGCACGTCAAATTATTGCCGGGATCAACTTGAAGTTGATCGCAGTAGTCTCTGTAATACCCAACTCGAGTATTAACCGTGCCTGGATTAGCTCCATCGCATTCAAGGGCACCATTAATAGCCCGAATGGTAGCCCCAAAACCTTGACCCGAAGTTATACTATCATGACAATTATTCATCCAAAACCAGAGAGCAGTCCTGAATGACACTACGCGATCTGTGGCTACAACTTCTGGATTGTTCAAACCATCAAAGCCTATGCTATTCCCTGCTGGTCCGTAGTTGAAGTTCCACGATAGTTGTATAGGACCTCGTCCGTAATATCCCTTGCCGGGAGCACATGGATATTGTGTGTTATTCTCGTCACAATAATCTCTAGATGGGCCATTTATTTCTTCTATATAGCATAAATCTGCAAAAAGAAACCAATTTTTGTGTTAAAAACTTAAGCCCTATTTTATAAATAAAGCTATCAATCATTGGTATGAAATAAAGTCAACGGGTAGGAAGACAAATCTGCCTCTAAAAGTGTGCTATTATGGGGTGCCTGACTATTCAAAGGAAAATAAATTATTTAATTGGTCAATACATTATATAGGCTAATGTTACAATCTTGACCAAATTATTTATTGGCTATAACTTTTGAACAAAATGATAGTAATGAAGTTCCAAAAAAATTAATAATAATAAAAATTCATGAAGTCGATTCAGATAAGGCATCTCAGAAAACTTACGTCCAGTTTCATGTGTAACGTGTGCGAAGAATGCAGCAATTTCGCGCTTAGAATCATCTACAGAACCAACGGTCCCGAATTGTTGATAAAAACCGAGAGCTTCAAGAAATGCCGCTCTAGTGTAGAATCCTTTGCCGGCACAATCTGAGGCAGCATGATCAGCAATGCCATTGAAAAATGCATCCGTCACGATATTAGGAACCGAAACTCCATTACTACTTGGCGGAGCATAGCAAGGGCCACCTTGGCACCCTCTGCCACAGTAGTCATTGCCGGTGCCACAATAACCATATTGACTGCAGCATAAATCCTGTGAACAGCCGCAGTTCTGGCAGGAAACTTGTCCGGGCGAGGTTCCGATGAGAAATATGGCTAGGGTAATTGCTAGAAAATCTTTTATTGAATAGTAGAAATCCATTTTTTCAAGGATTTTAGAAGTGTGAGGTGTGGAAATGAGGGCAGAATGAAATATATTTATAGTGCATTATCGGTCGACTTGCACAACAAAATGCCCCACCAAATTCTCTAGAATGCGTGTACTGTTTTGTCATAAGGTTGACTTTGACTTTGTGATTTGTAATTTGGCTTAATTGAATATCATTTTATGAAGAAAAATTGCAGAAGCTTCTCGTGTAAATGGTTTGGTTCCGTTTGAACTCCAACTTTTATTTTATTTCTTAAAATATAATATTTTGAAGAATGTGTTATTAAAAAGTAATTTTTTTATTCACATATAAAATTATTTTAGCGAGAGAATTTGTGATAGAAAATGAGTTTAAATAATATTGCTCAAGCAAGACTAAAATTCTACTAACGTTGTGAAGTGGTAAAGTTTATAATGTTTAAAAATATTATTGAAGTCTTTATTATTATCAGTATCTTAAAGAGTCTTTCTGTAATTCAAAAGACAAGATCAAAAGTTATTTTTTCTAAAGAATAACTTGTCTTTTATACATTTATAATTGTTATGAAAGAAAAATTATTGACTCCAGTTAATCAAAATGAAAGGTATGAAAAAAATTGGTAGAGGAGCAGGGAAATAAATATCGAGCAAAGGTATTCGAGTTGCCGGCTGGCAAGGAAATTAGAGAAAAGTAATCCTTTGACAAATTAGAAGTCATAAGGAAATAATTCAAGAATAAAAGAAAGCTCATCTTTTTCTAGAGGGCTGAGGCTATTGAAGCAGTCAAAGAATTCCACAGCAGCGATAGAGAAAGAGAAAAGGGGCGGGCTTGCTTGTGGAGCGTATTGATTTTGCATAGAAAGATATGAGGGTACAAAGAGGCTATCGGGGAGGAGACATAGAAATTTTGAAGGTAAGAAAAATTAGAATAAACGGTAGGCGCCTATTTGTGATATATATTGAGCTTTTTAATTTTGTGTATGGAGCAGTTGAGACGATGAGAAAAATATTAGAGTATTGTTATTTATATTCACAATTTTTATATATACACCAACTTTAAAAAAAAAATTATATTATATTTTTGATCTTATGTAAATTAACCTAAATAGATATAAATATAAAATTAGATAAAAATATATTGTTCTAAATTCATCCACTAATATTATTTTCATAAATACTTTTAAACCTCTTTTATATTATAAAACCCTAATCATAAAATATCCCCTTGGATGGAAATTAAAATAATAAAAAAATTAACACATTATTACATATTAAATTACTTGAACAAACAAATATTGCAGTGAACAAGAGTAATAAGATTATGAAAAGAAACGTGTTATGCCTTTGCCTACGTGGCAAGCCATATGATCGTTAGCTAAGCAATGATGCCACCACTCAAGTGTTTTCCTATGTTGTAGCCTATGTTTTTGAGTCGACGAAGAATGCCCATAACATTGTTGGCGACTACTTTTAAAGACGTTGAAGGCATGATCCAATGCCACTAGCCTTCGGCTTGGTGACATTTTTTATTGGTATAAGTAGATGACATTTTGGCGATGAAGCAACAAAATACTACCAGGTTAGTTATTTATGATATAAATAAAAGTTTGGGCATTGAGAAGAATAATCTGTATCTTATGATCTTATCCAAAGAAAGAATGGTTATGATTTTCTACAGAAAAAGATGCTTGTCAAGCACCAAGAATCAAACACCTCCTTAACCTAAATTCATTGATTCTGAAGATTGAAGGATTTTTGAAGAAGATAAAAACTTGAACTCCCAAGTTCTATAAAATATAATAAAAAAAACTAAAAACAAGTACGATTTTAAATACCAACGAAATAAGAGAAATATCTTAAATCTATTTAATGTCCGAAATAACCTCACATAAAATAGAATTGAAATAACATCTATATGAATAAAATAAAATTGATCCGCGCATTTGTTTTTAGAATGATGCTAGAAGTACAATATCTTGTATAACATGGTTGACAAAGTGACCAAGTGGCAGCCCCCTATTGGAGGGGCTGCTGACAAATAGAATAATTCTTGTTTTTAAACGTTGTTGTTTCGCGAGGGTTAGTCGCTAACAATTAAAAAGGGATCAGACGATTGTGTAAGGGACAAACCTCTTGAGATAAAGTCCCAAAAAGGGGTGTTCTTTATTGGCGATGACTTTACAATTAGAAAATAAAAACAGAATGCCTCCAAAGGGTGCAAGTACACGAGTTACTGTGAAAGAAGTGTTTAAATCTAAACTAAGAAATTTAAAGTTACATGTTCTCTGTTCGAGAGTTTTTGATTCGGGGCTTTGCTCTATGTCTTTTCTTCCTTTTATACTCCCTGAATGATCTCTTTGTGATCAACTGCCTAAAAACTGCTTGATCGTTCTATAATTACTCACTTTCCTCGTAATGGCCAACTTGTCATGGAATTGCCTTTTCTAACTGTTGTCATTACTCTTTATCGTTCAATCGTCTTCAATTGAATTCCTTGAATCGTGGAACGTGACAGGGCTGCTTAATAACTGCTTTGATAACTGTGCTTCTTGATAACCATAACAATTCACGTTTGCTAAAACCTTGGGCGACTCGAAGGTTTGGACGAGAATAGAGTAGCAGCTCTGGGCGACTGCATGGCATTCCATTCGCTCAGATCCTGGGCGACTTGCAAGCTTGGACGATGGTGTTACCGCGTTCATGGGCCTTCATCCTGAATCGTCTGATTGGGCTTCGTTCTTTGGGCTATCTGATTTGGGGATCCTCCAATTGGGCTTCATTCCTTGGGTCGTTCGATTTGGGCTGAGTTTTTATATGTCAACAATTACCCCCCAATATGGCAGAATTAATACCAATTATTAAATTTTGCCATATTCACTTTTGTGTTTCCAGCAACATTCGAAATTCCCAAGAATTTCAATCATTGTTTTCTTCCATAGCTTGAAAAGGTGCGACGTTTTGCAAACCCTTATAACTCCCAAATACGCCATTTCACTGCACCATTAAATCACGCCTCACTTTTTTTGCGCTTCTCTCTCACAATTTTATTGTTCATCTCTTTGCTTCCCTACTACGTAACTCTGAAAAACTCCATTTCGTCTCTAATGGCTACTTGACAATCTCAATCTGGCGACTCCTTTAGTTTTGAAGACTTAATAAAACTCCTTAATCGTCCATACATAACTTCGAACTTTCTCGCACCTGCCAATGTCGAACTTAATGAGTTCTACCTAAGTCCTTTCTTCAACAATGCAGAGGCAGTTGAACAAGCGACGGTGAGCCAGTTGTTTCCTTGTACTCAAGGCCCTCCATTTCTAAACTCTCTGCCACTAGGGCCACTTCGCGAAAGAGGTATTCACACTTGGCCTAAATCTGACGTAGTTTTCCGTAGGTGGCATGCTCACCTTGTGGACCATGGTCCTACTAAAGCACTTTTTGATAATACTAGGATTTCTGATTTGTTAGAAATCTCTCTTCAACCCCCTACTTTTGATTCAGTACTTTTTTCGATCACTTTAAGTTTTTAATCTTCTGAGTATAATACATTTGTTTTCCCTCTTGGCCCCATGTCTATTACTTTAAGGGATGTTGGGGCCCTAGTGAATTTGTCACCTTTGGGCGATACTATTTTTCCTGGTATCTTGGTTTCTGGTGGCGCCCCAAAGTTTGGTAAAAATCTCACCGAGTCTTATTCAAGCCTGCAAACCCTTCATAACCATTCGAGCGCTGAGCCTTCCCATACTGAGCGAGTGGCCTTTCTTCTGGTTTGGCTTTGTAAATATGTTTTGTGTGTGCCAAGCATAAAGCCCACCCTGAGCTATTTACCCATAGTGCATGAATTGGCGCGTGGTAGGCCTCTGAATTTATGTTCTTTCTTTTTGGCTGCTCTCTATAGAGGCATGGCTTCTCTTCAATCTCAATTGAAGAATGGTGCATCTCCAACTGGCAGTGAACCTCTTTGGTTCACTCAAATGTGGTTGAGATCCTATTTTCCATCGTTTGGTGCTCCATCATTTTCTCGTCCTTCTGCGAGCTGCTATGGGCTAGCCATTGAGCCCCTGGCTCCTGTAAATATGTCTAGAAGGGACATTTTTTCATTCTTTTATTCTTTGGATTCAATCCCTTCCTTCTTTCCTTTTCCTTCCTTTTTGACTCCAGACTATGTGCATCCTCCCTCCACTATATACAGCGCGAGCACCTCTCGGCTTATTTGGATCCAGTTTTTAACCGAGAGGGAGTTATTTCATAATATTTTGACTGGGACCAATGTCAAGGCTGGGGTAGAAATATATGCTCCCCAATTTTTTGCTCGCCAACTTGGTTTCGGCCAAACTTGGCCCGTTCCTCCTTGTTATTCAAGGAATTTGATAGACCACTTCCATATTATTAATAAGGCGGAGGCAGAGGTTATAAATGCTCGCAATTTTCTTTTGACGAGCCATTTTTCATTAGCCCCCTTCAATTCTAGCCGTGTCATCCATCCCCTTTTTGAACAACTCTGGCCGTCAGTGAAGCGCGGATTGTTTGCGACTGATGCCAATCGTGCCTTTCATTCATTGGACCAGCCAAGCATTTCTTCTCCTCCTTCTGTTTTAGTCACCCCTTTGTCCATTCGGAGTCCTTTTCCTCCTCGTCACACTAAACAGTCTGCTCGTCCACCTTCTTCTCTCCCTACCAAGCCTACTGCAGCCAAAAGTGCCCTGAGCCGCAAACGGTCAGCCTCAGCATCTCCCATTCTGGAGGATGATGTTGATGATGATGATGATGATGATGATACCCCTCTTATCATCAGGAGGAAGGTAATTAAATTGGTTTACTCACAAACATACTTTTCCATACTTGAAACTTTTCTATGTGCTGATGGTTTATTTGGACTTCTCAGAAAGGTTCAGCCTCTCCTTTGAAGGCTTTAGTGTCGGTAGCTCCTGCTCCATCATCCTCCGCTGAGGCTGCATCATCCAAACCAACTGATGAAGGGACTACGTTTAAAGAGACATCTTCAGTCCCAGAATCCTCATCACAACCAATGGATGAGCCACCTTCTTCCCAGG